TTTTAATGACCTTGACCTTTCATCCAAATGTCACAATCAATCTTAAGTTCTTGGAATAAGATACAAGATTCAACTCCAACGTTAAATAGGTTAAGAATAAAAATACCCCCCCCCCCCCACACACACACACACACACAAACAAATCAAATTAATGGCAACGTAGAGAATCACTGTTAAACTCAAATAACACCTCGGACCCACATAAAATTTCAGGAAAACTGCAGAAAAGAGCTCGAGGAAAGTGTATTAAAATATTTCATTTGAGTTTCCAAAGTATATAGAAATTATTAATTTATACAGAAAAAATTACAAATCCTGTCGTGTTTAAAATTAAAGTGCAGATGACCAAAGTTGGCATATAAGCCTTTTATAGCCTATTTATTCAGATGTCGTTAATAGCATTCGATTCTACTGATTTGAAATAATATTTTAATACCAAGCATCCTTTGTTTAATTTACCTTTGAAATTTATTTGAATTTTTTTTTAGAATTACGCAATCCCCAGAAATAGCGATTTTAGGTATATTAAAAAATCAATATACATGTACGCTCCTTCGTAAAATAATCAGATATTTGCATTCATGAGAAAAATATTAATAAGAAGGTGTTAAACAATATAGGTCACATTAGCTGACACGAATGTCTTTTTAAACATCTCTTGTAAAACCCAGAGAGTAGCCCCCTATGCATTGGAAAAAATGAATAGTTCCGGTCAAAAAACCTTTATATATTTATTTACAAAGTATATAAAATTTACCAGGCACAGGTATCAGAGTTGTCAAAATGGCCTGAGAGGAAATATTAAAAAAATTCTGAACAGAAAGGAAAATCCCTTTTCCATGTATGGAACTACTATTGAATAAGTTCATTTTGATTGGTTAGGTATTGGTGTGATACCCTTAGTCGACCTTAATCCTGCCTTGTCGTCGGAATAAAACCAACTTTGAGCCCGAGGTTTAAATAAGTAGAGAAATAAAATTAAAAATATGACATATGCTTGAGAAATGGTAAATTTATGTATGTATTTTTTTCTTTGATTCGCGGGATAGAAAGATATGTTAATCGCTTAATCAACATGCCATAATCATCTTGCATATGCGTGTACATGTACGTGTGCGCGCATGCAAAACGTTAAACAATATATCGTTGATAGTTGATATCATTGTAACTTTTATATTCTTAAATGAAATCTTGGGATACTTAGCATATTTATAAAAGGTCTTAGAGGAATAAGGCACGATAAGGGACATGGGGAGCGTTTGGGGAACATCTGTAACGGTCCCCGTTACAATTAGCACTAGTTATTTTTCTTCTTCCTGGGAAAATTTTGTCCACGAGTGATCTTGTGAACTACACATTGGACTAAGGTAAAATGTTTTTAGGGTCAGTAGACATGTTATGTAGATTTGCCCAACGAAGGTCATTTTGCGCGCACGTGCTTGCAAGAGCGCGCACGTGCAACACGTGAAATGACCAATATAATGTATATTGCCGTAACTTTTCTATTTTTTGATGAAATGTTTTGAAACTCATAATGTAAGGATATATTAGTAGTATAGACAAGATGGCATGGTCAAAATAGCAAGATCTCACGCGCATGCACGTGCACTTAGCTCTGATTGGCTGAAACTAAAGTCTCAATATCTTTCTTGTTTCTTGTCATAATCATTTGAAATTTTGAACATAGTCCTACATTATGAAGATCTACAGCATGATTTATAAAAATTTTCATGAAAGCATGCGCATGCGCGCATGCTGCAATCTGATTGGCTAAAACTTTAAATGGCTATATCTCGTTTGTTTTTTGACGAAATGCTTTGAAATTTGAAACATAGTCATGCATTACGATATCCTAACATATGATATAGAAAATATTCATGAAATCACGCGCATGCATGTGTGCTGCAATCTGATTGGCTGAAACTGCAAATGGCTATAACTCTCTTGTTTTTCAACCAAACAGGATGCGATTTAGAACTTGGATAAATATAAGGGACTCCTACAAGAAGGTGTAGTCATTATGCACGTGCTTGCACGTGCGTGCACGTGAAATGAGTAAAATAAAAAATACACTCGAATGAGTGCATTTTTAATACTTTTGGATTAAATGCTTTGATATTATTAAAATTTTAGATAGTGTAGACAAGATAATATGGTCGTTATGCACATGAACACGCGTGCAATGCCTATTTTTAAATATATTTTGTATTTTTCTGGAAGACTTTCATTAAGTCTAAATTCCATAAAGTATTTCTTATTTAATAGAGATAACAGGGAATATGGCACCAAAAGGGAGTTGGGGAGCGTTTGGGGAACATCTGTAACGGTCCCCGTTACAATTAGCACTAGTTTCATTTGAAATATAATAATAATTCATCTATAATTTTGAAGATCAAATATTTCTTCAAATGAATCTTCATTGATGAAATTTTTAGCTGTTCTTAATATGCGCCATGTTCATGTACTGTATAAACAGTGTAGGTTTTTCCAACTTCAATATAAACATCAATATTTTTAATCATAAATAGTTATGGTCGGTTAAAAAAATCTGAATAATTTGAACTAGACCAAAAAAAACTTAAACTATCGAAATAATTGTTAATTAATTTTGCTTTGGAACGAAACCACTCGGGTCAAAACCACGCGGGTTGAACAAGAAATTGGTCGAAACCACGTGGGTCGAACAAGGAATCGGGTCGTAACCACCCGCATTCAAAATTTATGATGCAAAAGGTATAAGTAATTTTTGCCAAGAATCTTGGCATTAAGATTTAAACGTTGACAGAGTTTTGTAGTGAAGCGTAATACACCCTCTGGTGAGAGATTATCTAACAATAGTTACATGTACTTCCATTTATATGTCGACTTGATATATCCCAATGAACTCAAAATAAATGTAAAAGACACAACATAGTCTGCCACATCCGTTTCATATTTAGATGTTTTACTGACTATAGACGATAAAGGCTAACTAACCACCAAATTGTATGACGACAAACGAGGATTGGAGATGCCTACTTCTCACAGGCACCTGATCCCACCTCTGAGATTTCGAGGGTCCGTGTTTGATGACCTGTTCACAGATTTGAATTATTTGTAGATTTCTTGAGATTTTCATTTTTTGTTAGCCCGCCTTTTTTAAATCAGAATCCCCATATTCAAATTCTACATCCATTGAAGAGTCTCCTGACTGTAGTGCTTTCAGTCTGACATATTAATATTTCTGATGATGATTTTTTAATGTCTATGAATTACAAAACTTCAAGACTTATTTCTATTGATATCTACTGACGTTTATTTCTTTGATAGTGTTTAATACACACTGAATCGTCGATCGATTTTTCCGTTTGCCTGATTATGAAAAAGAACACAATGCAGGTGTGACCAATCAACACAGAATGCTTACTCCTCCATGGCACCTGATCCAACTTCTTTTATTTTTCTAGTTCCATGTTTGCTCTGCTTCATATTTGTATTGTTTCAATGGACTTGATCATCTCTTTGTTACCTGTTATTTTATCAAAAACATATTGACTTTACACGTATACATGGTTGTCACCAGACTTGTGTTGAGTTGACACAATATGCAGATTCCCGTACATATATCTTACTGTTGTTCTAGATAAATTAAGATTTTATTTCCTTATATATGCATTTGCCCCTCTATATTGTGATAACCCTCTTGTCATTGGTCAAAAATAAATATAAATTTGAATCTACATTCTCCGATATACCATATCGAATGTGTCCCTAGTGTTACAGAAAAACTTTAGTTTGTATAGAATGAAATATATGGAGATAACGAACAGTAATCCAGCTCAAAAGTCCATTAAGCAATACATAATGGGAGCAAACACGGATCTCTAAAACATCAGAGGTGGGATCTAGTGCCATGTTTCTTTTATCTCTCATTCCAGCTCTAGGTTGGGGAAGATGTGAACAAACCATACACGAAGGTGCCTATACATCGATCTTTATATTTAAATAATTGTTGCAAAAGTTCTTAAGAATTTTTTTGAGCATTCTGAAGTAATACGTTAATTTCACCTTTAAACATAGACCATTTGATTCTATATATTGTGAAATTTATGTATTAATTTGACCGTGGCTCTATTTTAAATAAAATCATTTTACATACATGTACGTAAACCCTAATGACTCAATATCATCGCCTATTTCTAGCCCGAAAGCCATGTTTTGCAAAGAAAAAGGTATTGTAACTGTTTCAATACAGTATTTTCTAAAATATGAAAATACTGTAAGAAATTCAAATTGATGCTTTCTGAAACAATAAAATTCCAAGCAATAAGAACATACAATTCGTACTTCCCATATTACCTCCTAAATTGCTTATTGTGACGTCATGAACCTATGCACGTTCCTGAAAGTGTTGCAAAAAACATCAATTTTCAGTGGAATTTTCTTACAGAAAACAGAGCACATGCATCGCCCACTAAGATTTTGTGATATGTGATTTTTCAAAGCATTTTTCACAATATATCAAAAATTTGAAGTGACAGCTGTGGACACGAGCTATTAACTACATGAAAATCAACACAGAAATGAGTCACTCTGAGCTGCTTAAAACTTTGAAATGTACCAAATTAATGACGTCATTTTTCCGGAATAGTGTTCCTGCATGCCATATTCTATAATAATTTATCATATTCATTAACTAAGCCCATGTTAAAGACAATTTTTAATTTTAGGGTGCTGTAAAGGCCAAACCATACCTTCTTCTTTATCTTGCACTATACAAGGAAGTATATTTTTACTCCGTTGTTTTTGAGCAATTAAGACGTAATTCCGCATCCAACTGTTCCATCTTTCCAGATGTTGATAACTGGCCAATGAATCAAACTTTACTTTACTAAATGTCATCTGTGTTTATGTCAAAGACTTCAAAAGACCAGCCAAAAATCACATTAACTTTTTTAATTCAGGGAGCATACAAGAAACTTGAAAATTCTTTACAAAAATTAAGCAAAAGGAAAACAACTCTTTGTAGGCATTAATTTGAATAACTGACATCACTATAATTAACTAATTAACTATCTCTACAACTTCTTAACTTAATCAACTTCTAAATAATATCAACAATAATCAAATCATGATATAACATCCAAACACTTACAAAAGTTACATAGTTTTTAAACAAGATTTTTAAGTATCTGCATTTGAAATTATCATTTAATCATCAAAGTACAAATGATTCTATAATTAACCATCTTGACTACATCCTTTTTAATACAAAAGAAACCTTTCACATGAGAAATTTAAAACTGCTTTCTTTGTTTTTGCATACTGAAGAACCTCCTACATTATTAATATCTTATGTTACTTCTCTTAACATTTTCAAGATATGAGTACATGATTCACTGATTGAAGATTCTAATGCCTCATTAAAAATTGACTCAAAACTAAGCCATCAAACAAGTCCTTCTTTTATAGACATACTAGTAAACAGGATTTCTCTTTTAATGTTTCTACCAAGAAAATGTTTATCCACTTAAATCAATACTGCTTTCTCTTCTTCAAAGGCACTGTATATTGACCTGGGTCACTTGTTCTTTTATATTGACATGGAGCACCTTCTTCTGTATGTTGACACACAGTACCTGTCTGATTATGACATGGGGCACCTGTTCCTGGGTATTGACATGGGGCAGATGTTCCTTCTGGCTTTGGTGTGTCTTCTTTCCACTTTTTCCATTCCTTTGGAATGATGATACAGTTCTTTCTGTACACACTGGCTATTCTTTTCTCAATAGACCCCTTCCTTAGGGGCATCTGAGAGTTGACATTCACTGCTGGTGCCATTCTCATCACTGAATTATACATGGTTGTGTTCTGTGTTTGTAGAGCAGAAGATAACTTCTGGAGAGCTGCTGGTACACTTGCTGTCACCACTGAAGGCTTGATGTGACCTTGAGATCTAGGAGCCAGGCACTGTTGAGGGACACCATCTTTGGGTTGGTTTTTAAATCTGTAAATCTTCCTACTGCTCTGTTTCTTGTTTTCATGGTCTACTAGAGTGTTGTTATTTCCGGCAACTACTGGACTTTCTACTTCTGTAGAATTTTTTCTCTTAATTATGTCTCCATCTGAACCTTGGTCGTTTTTCTTCATCTTGAAATTGTTTTCTTTCTGCGCAACAGCAGCAACAATTTTTGTTAATTTCTTGATGGGAGTTTGGGAAATGACAATCTTGGCTGTGCCCTGTCCATTAATTTTCTGTAAGTGTACAGACAGTTTGTCTTTGATTTCAGCTGACAACACAGGAGGAGCAGTTTTACCATTCTTCTTGTCCCATCTCACACTTCTGCCTTGTACGCTTGTGTCATTATTATTCTGCTTTCCCTTTCCTCTTCTTTTGGTGTCATCTGTTTTTGGTTTTTCACATATTTGGTCATTATATTCTTTACCATTAACAGCTTTGCTCGGACCTTTGTCATTTACAGCTGTACTCTGACCTTTTTCATTTACAGCCTTACCTTGACCTTTGTCATTTACAGCCTTAACTTGACCTTTGTCATTTACAGCCTTACCTTGACCTTTGTCATTTACAGCTTTGCTCTGACCTTTGTCATTTACGGCTTTGCTCAGACCTTTGTCATTTACAGCTTTGCTCTGACCTTTGTCATTTACAGCTTTGCCCTGACCTTTGTCATTTAGAGCCTTACTTTGACCTTTGTCATTTACAGCTTTTTTCTTGATGAACAATTTATTTCCCTCAGCTGTAACTTCAAACATAGATTTTTGTCTTTTGTTTACTGGAAAATTGTTATGCTTTGCCTGATCTTGAGTCTGGTTAATAAAAGTTTTCTGATGTTCAAGAGCTGCTGCTGTTAGAGGAATACTTGACTCTTCAGGCAAGTCTACAAAAAAATAAATTTCAAATCTGTTTCTGAAAAGGCACAGCTTACAAACCAAGAACTCCATTCAATTTTCTGATTTATATTTTTTTATCGGCCGCAGCAGCGGCCGATCTATTTGTGGTTGTGTTAGAAAGTGCACATGGGGAAATGAGATGTTATTATTTTATCAGTTCAGTAAAATAATTCTCAAATAATAACATGTATAAAACCATGAGTAAAATATTTTAAAAACTTGCTTTAAATTAAGTTTTAATTGTTGTTATTTTGTTTCAATTTCATTATCATTTTGCATCAGATAATTGAAAATTTATGGTTGAACAAAAAGAGTTTACAATAGGTACCCCCCATCCAGGGAGTGTGTAAGATACGAAAGGAAATCGTTATGATTTTTCGGACAATAATGACGTGCACGTGGTAAAAAATAAAAAAAAATGAAAAGTTGCTCTACTAGTAAAAACTTGTTTGAAAATCCTACAGCTGCGAATGACACAAAGATTTTTCACCGCACCATGCCGCATAGCCTACTATGCAGAAACCATATAAGCATTATCACGTGACAAATAACTAGGGTAGCAGCACGTGGTATATCTTGAAAGGCATACATCTTAATTTTGCATGATGACAATAATTTCTCATATCATAGGCGTCGGAACCGGGGGGGGGGGGGGTTACCTCCCCCCACTTTTATTGCAAATATATACATTATATAGGCATTGAAAATGGGCTTTACAATTTTTTGTTGGTTAGCCCCCCCCCCCCTTTTAATTAGCTCACCCCCATCCTCACCCCACTTTTGATTTGCTTCCGACACCCATGCATATTTAGACTTTTTTACATCGATAAATCCATTGGATGAGCAAATGCACTAAAATTTCTAGTTTAAAATATATTTTATTCATTGAATTCGGTTGAACAGCAGGCATGATGCTAAAATTTCTATCAATTATTTGAAAATATTTATTTATTTATTTTGCTTTGAAGACGGCCTGAAATAAAAATGATCACTGTTTCAGCTTTGAATATCCTGTTCTTTTCTTGCATGAATGCTTTGAATTGTGAAAGTACTTTTTTGACATCTTAAATATGTTAGCGGCCGATTTGATGCTTTGCATCAATTAACTTGTTCATATAGAAATGATGAAGTACGAATTACAAGTACCTTTCAGAGTCCGTACATCTGTGATTTTTATTTCTAAATCCTCCTTGGTTGTACCTGTCTGACAGCTAACCGAACTCACCGTCTCTCCTTCCACCTTCTCTGATGGAGTAGGATCTCCACTGTCATTAGAAGTTGTGTTTCCACATAAGTCCACATCTCCATTCTCTCTCTGCGATGATATTTCACGTTCTGTGGGTGCCAATGCATTTTTTTCCTGCAATGAAAAATTATATGGAAACTTAGAATATTGCCTACCAGTGGCTACCGTTGTACCATATTCCTACTTGATGATTGTTCCTGAATAAGTTCTTGATTTTCACACACTTTAGACACTTAAATTTTAAAATTACTTTGGTAAATTAAGGCACAATATACAATTGAAAACATTCCAATTTTTTTAAGTTGGGAGACTTTTAACAGAATGCCTCATCCAATGATTTTGTTGCAATATTTTGCCTGTATGTGATTTACAAATGGCTGGAAAAATAATTAAAATTAAATGGTTGAATAAGGAGTTTTATGGTTTATACCTGAGTCCCAGTTGTCAGCCTGGTATCTGTGTTTCCAGCATTCCCAACATCTGCTGACAAAAAACCGCTGGTGTAAGCCACACTGTTAACCAAGCCCGAGTCATCTGTAGGCATAGAGCTGCTGGTGTAGTCCACACTGTTAACAAAGCCTGTATCATCTGTAGGCATAGTGCTGCTGGTGTAAATAGGCCTACACAATCCAAAATCAAGACAGGTTCTTTTTTATATTAATGTAAATAACTTATCTCTATGGCTTAAGAATTTTAAGTTTTGAATTGATGCATTAAGTTTCATTTACAAAATACTATTTGAAATTGTGCATCTTGAAGTTTACTAGCACATACAGATAGGGACTTGAAATCTAGCAAAATTGGGTATATAGTATCTCCCCTATTACATGTATACTATATACCCAATTTTGCTAGGGTCTCAAATCCATGTGTTTACTAGCAATTAAATAGAATTTTAAAATTCAGAACTCTCCTGACATCAATACATTGTAGTGGTAAAACAAAGGAATTGCAAAGCAGAGCATCCTCTTGCAGAAGAGCACACGAATTCCTTATATGTAACTTATTACTTTACATTATAACATATGCACTCACTCACACACACAATCACAAGTGTGTAATATTAGTATATGAGTATATCCTCTTCCAACTTGCATTGTGAGGATATAACAGTACTTTTTGCCATTGTAACATTTAATAGCATACCTGAGAAAGGAAAAAGTCCTACCACTTGAGCTACTTTGGAAGGAAACTCGATTTCCTATAAATAGAAACAAATTAACACCCTTAATTACAATTTTATTTCTCTACAAAGATCCCTTAAACTTTGCATATATATAATACACTGTGACTCAATTCCATGAAATCTTTTGCTATTTAAGAAATTTTTCTGCAGTGAACTTTTGAGTTATCTCAAACAAGTGACTACAGATATGAAAGAGAGAATCTTACTTTAATTTACCACCCATGTGTAACCTTACCCAGAGACAGGCGATTCCATTCCTTCCACATGAACCTGTTCTGTTGTCTGTGGTGAAAAGTATTAAAACAGATATTCAGGTGAGCTGTGTAAGCCTTCCTCGACACAAAGTTCATCAGACAGAGAGGGCAGTAGGCTGTGAAGTCCTCAGTGTCTGAAAAGACATCTTCACATCGCTGGTCAGGAGACGTTAAGGATTTACCTCCTGGTTGCTGATAGGCAGATTTGGGATCAGGACTTGGTATAACAGCAGGGCTCAGATTTTCTGATAAATTCTTACTGCATGTTGGTGTCTGATTCAGTACAAAAGGGATAGAAGTTAGATTTTCTGATGAACTGGTGCTAACTCTTATATTCCAGACAGATGAATTGGAAGTCAGGTTTTTTGATGAAATGGTGCCAATTCTATGGTTCAAGACAGATGAATTGGGAGTTGAGTTTTGTGATGAACTGGTGCCAAGTCTATGGTTCAAGGCTGATGTACTGGGAGTCAGGTTTTCTGATGAACTGGTGCCAATTCTATGGTTCAAGACAGATGTATTGGGAGTCAGGTTTTCTGATGAACTGGTGCCAATTCTATGGTTCAAGACAGATGAATTGGGAGTCAGGTTTTCTGATGAACTGGTGCTAGGTCTTTGGTTTATGACAGAGGTATTGGGAGTCAGTTGTTCTGATGATTTGGAACCTTGACACAATGTTAAGTGGAGGTTTAGATGTGCCTTGATCTGTTCTTCTGAGTGGAAGGTAAGATTACATGATGGACAGGTGTCATATTGGATAACTAGCGGCTGCTCTGTCGTGGTGCACTTTTGATTTGTTTCCTCAATAATTTCCTCTTTTCTACCTACAAAATAAAAATTTTTAATCCATTTTTATTTTACATAAGAAACATATTCAATGCCTTGAATTTAATTCCTTGAATTCTAGAACATTTCTTGCAAAGAAATAAATAAGCAACACATATTAAACACTTCATTTTTTAAAAAAGACTTTTGTCTCTCCATGGCCATTTCTAACCTGCTTTTTCCTTTTCTTTTATAATTTTTGTCGCAGACATATTTGCTGTAGTCTGGCTGCTGGACGTCTGGTTATTCAAGTCATCTAGCTGTTTGTCCTTCATTAACCAGTCAGTTGATTCCGGCTCATCCTCCATGTACTTGTCGACCAGCCTGGAAATGAACTTATACACTGTCTCCCTTTTATCTCCGCTGTTTCCCTGGTTCATCTGATTGTCACCTTGTTCACAACTAGACATGATGTCCATGTCAGAGTCAGACCAGCCAGGTTCTTGTTTGATTCTCTGTTCTATGTTACACTGTACTCCTGTCCTTGTTTCTGGTGTTTCTTGTAATTTGGGAATGCCTGAGGTCCTTGTTTGTGGTGGTTTCTCATGCTGCTGCACACTGTTTGAGTTTGATTTTATACCATTGTCATTGCTTAAATCCACTAGGCCTGATATTTGTACTGGACCTTGTGGTGTTATTATTTGCTGAGAAGGAACATTTCCACTTGAGGATGTTTCACTCTTTTCATCCTCTCTGCTACTGCGACAAATCTGAAAATGCAGTCTCTCTTTAAGTGAAGACTGGGGGAAGGTACCCAGTGTGAAATCACTGTGATTTAATGCTAGTTCTGGATTTTCAATCTCTCTTGCAACATTCTTTACTTTTGTTTCTAAGGCCTCTGTATTTGAAAACTTATTGGTAGCTTTTATAACTACAGGAGCCAGTGTGGAGTTTTGTCTCTGAAAATGAGGTAGGTGATCCTTTGATTCCAGGTAATGAAGCTGGGTAACTCTCTCTAACTCACACAGTACAACAACAGGGTTTTTGAAGAGCTCACAAGCAGGAATTAGAATTTTCTTTTGCCTAAGATAGTTGTGGTATTGCTTGCAGTATGTGTAGAGGCTTTCCAGTCCTAGGAGATGGACAATTTGTTCTACCCATGGAGCATTCTGTGGAGTCAGATGAAGAGTTCCTGTGTACCAGTATTGGACGACACTGTTCAGGGCATCAGCCTTAATGCTGGCAGGGAGGATCAGTTCTAGTGGTTTCCCTGAGTTAGGTATCTGCCACTGTGTCAACCCTGGGATTGCTGCCAGTAGGATTAAGCGATGGACCTTAAAATAAAATCTATACTGTATCAACTGTCAGAAAAGGAAACAGCAAATTGTGTACCAACAGTATTTTCCCTTTATTTCAAATTAATGAGTTAGAAATCAATTGAAATAGTCTGGAGGTTGAAGTTTATCATGAGCAAAATCTTTGTGGACCTTTAGGAATTTTTCAATGCTGATTTAACTGCTAGTAAAAGTTATTTTCCCCCTTGAAATGAATGTCAAAATCCCCATATTAAATCAAGAAAATCCTCTGATTAAACAAACATTCAACATTTAACATATACTACATGTAGTTCTAGAAATGACCCCAAAGTTCATTCTCAGAATGTAGATTTTTGCTATATGCCTATATTTATCCAAAAAATTCTTGGATGAGCATTTCCTAGGACTTCCATGATTGTTTATTCATACCCAGACCAGTGCTACCCAGTGCTAATATAAACACCCCCCCCCCCCCACACACACACACACACACATACTCCTTCACACAAAAAGGGTAGTCAAATGAAAAAAAATTAATCCCTAGATAAATCCATAGTCTTACAATTATTTTTTTTTACAAATAATAATTAGGCTGTCACTTTCAAAACATTTACAAATGGGATGTAATATTTTATACATGTATCTCAAAATATAGCAAAAATGGAGAGGGATTATACCCCCCTTTCCAGCTACTCCCCCTCCCTCCATCTCTCCAAAAACAATCAAACATTGGTTTTGCCCATCTCTTTCCATAAAGTTACCAATATTAATAACTATTTTTGATTATTTCATAGGATTAAATCAGAAATATCACATAATATTGGGGAGGGGGGCAATGTTAATTATAATGAAAATATTTATTGGAATATCTGCTAGCTGTAACCTGGCTCGCTCTCTTTTGTACCTAATCAAGTCAGATTCTCCAATGTATATTTGATTTAGAACAAAATTCTTGTCAATAAGGTTGGATCCTCCCCATTTTTCTCAGAAAATGATATTCCGTGCCTGCAATTATAAAAGTCAATACAAAGGATTAAGTAACAACTTACATAGACTTTTACTGGTCCTGCCTCTAGAGTTGCATCACACAGTGTTTTGTTGAGCCAGAATGTCTTTAGTTTTTCGAGGACTGACAAGGGGTACTGGTAGTCTATGAAATCGTTGTCCAATATATCCATTGTTCATCGAATTGGAATATTTCCATTAGATCTGTAACACCTTCAGCGAAAAAACAAACAGACCAGTTTTCTTAGAGACTATATGCAATTAACTTTTCTATATTAAGCCTATTTAATTTTGAATTTATTAGTACACCTCCTAGAAATATCTACTATAGGCTACTTACTATTCCATTTCGATGACATCATCAAGCGCGCGCAGAAAAATTTCGTCTGCTATAAGAACAAGTCGGTATTCATTACGTCGATCGTTGTTTAATCGCTACAGGAAACAATATTTGTTTAGTTTTGCAACATAAAAGTATATTTTTATAATGAAGGTAAGTTATTTAATATTGCAAATGTACATTATATAGACCATATCCTACATAACCCATAAACATGATAAATGACGGCTCTAAAAATATTTCTTTACATACCGAAAATACTTCGAACAACTTACCTAAAAACTTGATCACAGATAAAAAGAGAAGAATTATGTAATATTTTAAAGTTAAATTATCCTATCTCTATGATATGTTGATGAAACAGCTGTAATGTAAAAATCTTACATTCAAATACTGCCGCGAAGAGCATTTAGGTTTCCGATGCTAAAAATAGATGGACTTCGAGAACGGCCTATATTTAGGCAGTCAACCCTTAATTTATTACAAAGGAAGTGATATTTGTATGAAATATCTCATTTTATTAACATTTTGAATAATCCATTAGTCCCTTATATAGAATAAATTACCTTATATAATTTACAATATAAAATAAGAGAAACAGAAATGTTATTTCAATGCAGGTTTCCATAAACATCCCGAGCTTGACCTCATTACGTCGACGCTATGCAGAGTAGCCATTTTGAAGCAACAACGGATTTATTCTAATATTGATGAATTTTTGTCGAATATCTTCCATTAATTAATTGGGTACGTATGCAGAGAGAGTAGAAAAGAAACACAGAATACGCTGTCAATGAAGTAACTTTGTAATATCTTGCTGTGAAATTGCTTTCCATTGACTTATTTGATACAAGATATAACGGTATTGTTTATATTTTCAAGGTCACTGTTTTGTAGTCTGTTTTTACAAAGTGAACAGGATAAGTATAGTCTGTGTCCAATATAGGTAATAGCTTAATCATATTGTGCAGTCATTTGTTGCATAGTTATTTGAGATAAGCCAATTAAGAAATAAAAATCAATAAACATCATGGCATAATGTTTGTGTGAACTTTTAAGAAATATGCATGTCAAGCTGCAAGAAAAGGACAAATTGTAATAAATCATTAATGAATGCACCTTTCATTTCTCTAGCTTTTATTAAATGTGTTAATACTACGTTAGTGATAGGGGTTTTAACCTCGGTAATCAAGTGAATTTAGAAGTTGCAAAGAAAAAGAAACACCCTCACTTGTACACAACAGTATGCACACTATACAGGGTATTCCTCCCTTTCAAAAATTAGAATAGGGAAAAACAAATGTTTGAAACATAAATATAGTAAAGGAATTTCTATGTTTAGAAGGAATAAATCTATTATATCAACCCAACAGAATATACATAAAGTCTGGTGATAGTTTACTGTAAGCGTATTTAGATATGTGTATATATATTCCTTTTAGTGTTCACAGAAAGCATTAACTTCTGCTAATTCAAGAACTTCGCTAAATGTCGATCTTGCATATAATGTAAATAAGAATAGGAACAATTAAATGCACAAAATCAAGTCTTCGATAACATGTTAAAAAATCAATTTCAATCAAATATCATACACACAAATATAATACATCTATCTACTAGTATTTCACACTGCTAATAATTTTTTCTGATTTCAGCAGAAAGATGGAGGGAGGCCATCAGAGATATCAGCATGACGTTTCCATGGCTACCGACCTCAGTCTGTCCACAATGAATGAACAAGAAGACATGGCACTGTACCAGCAACCACTAGACCTGCAAGCAAACTGTCAGAGCAACACCGCCATGCAACACGGATATGTCAGCAACTATAACATGGCACCCTCCTCTAGCAGGGGTTATATGTCGTCTAATGTAACAGATCAGTATCACACCAACTCTCATCTGACGTCATACAAGTCCACATACACAAGCCCAGGTAAAACTGCCTACGCTGGAAGTGACCAGTACAACACTGGAAATGTCACTGCTCAAGACTACTCCCAGAAAGACCTACCAAACACTCCCGTCATGGCATACAAAAGTCCCACATCACTGATAAAACCTCCCAAGGGCTACACTGGTAGGGGGAGTGAGTTTGGTGCTGTGATGCCAGCCTACAGAAACAATGTAATAGATAACACCCCTACAGCAGTCAATCAAGACCCCCCAACACCCCTGAAAAATCCAGATCCACCCCCAGCAATGAAAACAACACCATACAAGCCAAGGCATAACATCAGTGAGAAGGTGATGAGAATGGAGCCAGAACCCGAGACAACAGAAGACAAACTGGCCACGCAGGATTACACCGAGACCAATCTACCCCGGGAGCTGATGAGTAAGATGTTTGGCTTGCTGAAGCAGGGCATGTTTTGGGATGCTGTTCTTGTGGCTGGAAGCAAAGAAATCAGGGTATGATCAGAACTGTTTTGTTTTCATGGTTTAAAATTTAAAAAAAAAAAAAAAAAAAAAAAAACATAATTACAATGCTCCATACATGAATTATATCCGAAATCAGTTTATTTTCAGAAGTCAGAAATAAATGTTACAGCAAACACAGCTTATAACTATAAAGATTCAGAGACCAATGATTCTGCTTCATTACAAATACATATATAATACCTGTATGCATCTCCATTAAGTTTGCAATATATAGCAAAACCATTTTGGTTCTAAATTTAAAAAAAAATTTAATCGGTAACATCGGTTGACCCTAACTGACTGATCATCGGCCAATAATCGATTCGGTAACCCTTTGCATAAAATAGGTATTAGATTTTATAAAAATTAGAATTTTGTTGCTAAATAATGTAAAAAGGTGCATTGCATATTCTAAAAACAGTATATATGCAGTTTGATTAAAGATTTCAGTAATACAGATTTTTGCATGATTAGGAATTACTTGGCCTCGGAAAAGTAAACATCGACAGATCAGGTTTTGATTAACATGATCATCTAAAATGTATATGGAATTAATTTTTTAAACTGTTATAAGGCATTTATTTTTGCAAATTCCTTGTGATTATAAACATAATTCCCCCAAATACTGAAAATATATATTTTATTTAAACAAGTAGTTTAGTTTCTTCAGTTTAGAAATACAAATATCATTATCTTTTGATTTATTTTAAACATATTTTAAGTACATGTATATATAAAGGACAACTCTTGAAAGATATATATTTTGATAACAAGAGCCTGTTCTTGAAATAAAAGTGGAAAACTATGAAAAAGATCTGAAATATACCGATTAATCGATTGTTAAAATCTTCGATTGTCTAAGTTTCAATTCATTATAAATCAATCATCGTGACAACACTAGGGATCATCCTGAGCATGTCCACTATAAATGATAGATATTTATTATGGTGTACTACTCATACATTGCTACAATACATTTTTTGACAATATAATTTTCTGATACATATATATTTATAAAAGTTTTGCACTAAACAAAAGAATTTAATTTAGTTGAATTGAATATAATTCACATTACATTTGTATACCAAGGATACCCATGAAAGCCAATGGCTTATTTCCAAAGGGGTCTTAAAACCTTTTTTACTGAATAAGTTTTGAATATGGCATATCCTAAATTTGAGTTTTAGTTGGTTAATGATTTCTTTACAAACATTTCTTTATTATCTTACGTTGATGATCAAATATTTCAAATCTTGTTATAACAGGTACACAAGCTTGTTTTGATGGCCGCCAGCCCTTTTCTGATGAACAAGATGGCTAACCCTAGTCCTGGTGAGTCTATAAGAGTGAGCTTACCAGCGGGAATTCCCGTGGAGGTGGCATCTCAGCTCGTACACTACCTGTACGATGGAAATGTAACCATCACAACAGAAAATGTAGGGCAGTTCGCCCGGATAGCCAAGCTGTTCCACCTAGAGCACCTGCTTAAGATCTGTACACAATTCATATTACACTACAAGCTGGACAGCTCCTTACTGAAAGTCACGAATGAGGACATCTCCATCGTGGTTAGTGTCATATCACCCCAGAAAGCTGCAGCTGCTCCAGAGAGTGTCCAGAAAACACCCCCAAAGAAGGAGGAACAGACTGTTAGTAAACCTCCCACCAGTGGGGGAAAGAAACCCATTAAAGAGGCCAACAAGCAGTGCCCCTTCCCCACCACTGTTAATCACGTGTATGGAACCCGTACCCAGTCTGGCACAGTGAAAAAGAAGACATTTAAAGACACGCTTACTAGTGGCTTAAAGAAAGGAAACAACACAAAGAAACTAAATACTGCAGTAACAAAACCGGAATCTGTAACAGAGAATAAAACTGCTGTCTCTCCAAAACAAAAGAGCAACATTCCCACTGTCGTGGCACAGACCTCCTATCTGAATCACCCCAGAAAGAGGAGGCTCTCCATGCTAGCTCAGGAGACCGCGGGCAACAAAGAGTCCTCAGAGAATGTGGGAGGGGATCTAGAAGGGGTGTCGGAGGAGGAGTTGGATGATGACGCGGACAGTGACTACACTCCCCCCTCCATCACCACACAGTCAGGGATGCAGAGGGCCGTGTTTGAAGGGGCCAGGAAGGGGAAAATGTTCAAATCACTGAAAAAGTCAGCAACTCTCAGCAGCATCAAGAAAGGCCTAGGCAAAAAGTAAGTAACGGATTAACAGAGGACTCTTTTGGAATAAATAAAGTCATATTAGCACGGGGGGTTCCATTGGTAGATTTTGTGGTCTTTATTGACGGAAAGCTGAAAATTTAGCCTGTCACTATGCATATCATTCAATATTTATTTTAATGAAAATGTTGAAAATTCTTTTAATCCAATCATTTATTTTAAAACATTCTTGCAATCTATTATGAAAGAGTTATTTCCCTTGTCACATCATTTTATTTTGAATGTTATTTTTTAGAGTTTTGATAATCATTTTATTTGATAATTCTTTTATTTATATATAATAATTTTTATAATAATTATTTAAACAGTTTTAGTTTTGGTCTATCTCACTTGCAGATTATATGTACATATATCTGAATTGAAAATAAGTTGATTCATGAATTTCATGTACATAAAATGTTACAGTATAATATAAATTTTCCATTTTAATATCATATAATACTAGTAAACACAAATAAAAGTATCATTTTTCTCCCTTTGATTAATTACCTCTGGCATTCACTGAAAAAAAAATTCTTGTAAAAGCTTTTATCTTATAAGATATAAATGAATCTTAGGAAGATCAACTGTGTGTAGATTTCTCTCTTTTATAACTAATTAATGTGATTTTGTAATTTTAGGAGAGCTCAGACCAGCTCTCCTCTCCTGAAGTCAGAGACTACGAGGCAGCCCCCGAAGAAGAGAGCCAGAGAATTCGCTGAAAAAGAGGTGGAGGAAATGGCCTCCTACATCTTCAAGAACGAACCAACGGCATTCACCAACATCAAACCCCTGCAGGGGACCAAAGGCAAGAAGAAGAAGAAACCCAGCAAAAGCAAGTCTACAGGATCATCAAAACTAACACCATATTCAGGGATAAGTCGTTACGCTTCTGAACTCGAAGAAATGGCAAAATCAGTCCAAGAGGATGAGAAGGTGTTTATCTGTAAATTGTGTGGGAATGAGTTTGTGTTTCCTAAGCGCTGCATCACCCATGTCATGAAAACCCATGAAATGAATGTGGCTGATTCTGTTAACCACATAGAGATAGGTAAAAGGGAGGCAACTCCTAAATCCTGCGATGTTTGTGGCTATGTTACTAAGGATGCTAATCATTATTACATGCACTACCATAAGTATTTCAAACATGGAGTTCCTCTGCCGAAAGGCTGGAAGGCATTTAAATGTGACATATGTGGAAAAGAATGTTTCACAAAGTTCCAGTTGAAGGACCACAAACTCATTCATGTGGAACAGACTCCTTTTGTTTGTGAAACTTGTGGCACAGGGTTCAAATCCAGAACATGCCTAAACAGCCATGTCTACCATAAACACAGTACAGTACGCAAGCACCCATGTACAGAGTGCACCAAGACATTTAAAACTCGAACTCAATTGTTAGTGCACAAGCGAACACACAGTGGTGAAAAGCCCTTCCAGTGTCCAGAATGTACCTATAAAAGTACAACCCGAGGAAACATGAGGATCCACCTCACAAACAAGCATAAACTCAGTCCTGACGAAATCAAGTACCTCATGGAGTCTATCAAGTTTGACAGCCCCTCAGTGCTATGTATTGTAGAGGTTAATGAAGATTATGAAGAACCTCCAAACTCTACGCAAAAAGAGGTGAAGCCAAAGTCAGGTCCTTCCAAGGAACCCGCTAAACAACAGAGTGTGATGGTAATGAATCAGAAAGGAGAGGTGGATTTACTGGACAGCCAGACTTACAATGAATCTCTCACCACTTTAGGAGGTCCGAAACTCGCGGCACAGCCTCAAGTCCGAGTCAGCGAGTCGTCTGATGTGCCTCCCCTACACACTACACTGAGCTCACTGATTGAGTCTTCTGGTAGTACAGGGACAACCCCCTCCTCTGTGACTGGCCTACAGGATCCCCAGCAGTATCTCCTACAGACCATCAACATACCCATCTCCCAGGATGTGCCGATGGGAGACGCGGAGACGGCTCAGCTGCTGCTGAATCATGTCAGTGGTGAACAACTGCACCACACTGATCACCAGTATACAATGGAGTCTCCCATCAACCTAGTACAGGACACACAGAATATAAATACAGCCAGTCAAGGAGTCAAAACTTATACTAATGATGATATCCAGTCCATGCTTGCCAACAACGTAAGGTCGTACGGACAGCAAACCAAGTCTCAGAATGAAACCTATATACAGATGGTTCCTGCTGCTCATCTTCAGCATGTTCAACTGCAGGATGGTTCATCTCAGAATAACCTGAACATGAACCAGTCCACACAATTAATCACTCCTCAAGAAATCCCTGTTCAGAACATGTCCCCAATAAAGAAACAGATACAGTACCAGTACCAACTGAATGCGGATCCCACTAACTCTATAATGATCGACAACCAGGAACACACAAGTTCAAACCAGCTGACGTCCACTCACACACAGCCATCAGTGTCCCTCCTACCAGTCAGTTTACAGACGTCCTACACCCCAGTCTCCCAGTATGTCACCATAGCCAGGAGAAATGACCAACAAGCAGTGCCCTCTAATTCAGGAGCAGTAACTGTGCATGCATACATTGTCAGACCTCAGAAAACAGGATCAGAGACTCAAAAAAATTATCCCCCTGTATTACAGGCCCAGAAGAAGGTGGATGAGGATATTCTTCCTCCCACACACACGCTGTGGAACACGCCGATAACGATACAGGACACGGTGACGTCGGGGGCACCAGCTGGACAGAGGAGTCAGGCGCGTCACCCCTACAACACCGGTCAAACAACCGGGCGCTACACCGCTAACGAAAATAACAATGTCAGTTATCAGTATTCAAACTTCAAGTCATAATCAGTGCTAATGAAATGAATTCCTCATGTAATTTAAAACCACATCTGTAGCTGATTCATTGTGCAATTTATGGAGAATGAAATAAATACATTTGTGGCTTAATAACAAATTATATCTAATTCTATCTTGTAGGGCTAAGTTCTCATTGATGACCAGTAGTTTATTTCATACATCTGATTATAAAGGAAATAAATGGATTGAGAATGCTTTATTTACTGATGTTCTGTCTGCAGCCCTCAAATGATATCTTTCTTGGTTGTCCAGAGAACATTTTCCCTACCCTTTAGGCAAATTGGGCTCTAGCTGTCCAAGTGTAATTTAGAGTGTAACTTTATAACTCAAAACAAGAGATTTTTTTTCAAGGTTTCCATTTTATTAGAGCATATATTTTTCAAAATGATCTTGACCCTAAATGTAGGTCAAGGCTGAAATAATGATGAACATTCTTCAAAAAGATATTTGGGCATGAAGTTATAATTAGGAATGATTTTGCAAAAATATTTTAGGCCTTTCTCTCTTTAAATTTGTTCACTTTATGCTCATTTGGGCACTGAATAAGTAATGAAACATATCTTATCTTATAGATATAAGTTTGAATGTATTTATATACCGTATAGCAGATTATTTTAGCGGGGTGTTAATTTTGGCTTATTTTGGTGTTTTGATGGTAGCCCGCTAAAATTTCAATCGCTTAAATATTCAGTACTCTTCTAAGTGTGCATCTGCAAAGAGCTGAAACCCTGTGTCCGCTAAAATAAATTATGCCAAAATTATTGGCATACCTTTGAGGAGGCAAAACGCCAAATTTTACACCCGCCAAGAAAACCCGCTATACGGTATGTATGGCAGACAGGTGTATTTTCGGTCAGATCTGGAGCTGATAGTTCTATTTGTAAATCAATTTAATAGAGCACCAGTGTCTAAAGAGTTCAGTGGACCTGTATTGAGTCCCAGTCGTGTTCATCCTAGCTATAATTTCTCTCTTTTAATTAACTTTTGGTCACCCCAGGATTTGCAGGTGAAAGTCGGTAGTCCTGTTGGTAAAGAATTCATCTGCATGATGGTGTGACTGCAGTCACTGTACACATGTACATGCATGTATGTGCAGTCTTCAATCTGATTAAAATCACATTGGTCAGTCTTAGGACAGAGATATATGCATATAAGGAGAAAGGAATTTGATGGTAACCTGGTCAGATGAATGTGATTGCTGGTGGACAGAGAGCTCAGCTGATAAGACAATTTAATACTTATGGCACCTCTTTGGAGTTCATGGGGTCAGTCTCCATGGTTTAGATCCTAGCTGATGTAATCAATCTGTAAAAAAATATATTTTCTTTCATCCTATATGACTTAACGAGTAAAGTGCAGAGAAAAAACTTAAATAAATGCAGTAAGAATATTGAAATTTCTGATATGATTATATTTTAGCCTTATCTCTGGCAAAAAAAGCATTTCCTCCTCTAATTAAACTGGTTATTAAGTTGATATTTCTAGATCGATCCGTTTATTTTATTTGTAAACAAGAAATATATTTTTAATGCATACAGTTTTAATCCAAGTGTGTTGATCAAATCCTTTTTTATTTTTTGAACTTCCCGCATTTTTGCACAAGTTGTAGTTGTATTCCATCATGTGATTGGATTGAATCGGATTCATTCTCCAATGAAAATGGTTCTTTCTTTCGAACTGCACTTCCTGAGAAAATTTGTTTACAAGTGCATAAAAATAGGAATGACCTGAAAACAGAAAGAATGACATTAACTTAATGATTAAGTAATTAAAGTTAGAAAGGTAATTTTGTGTCAGCTACTAATTATTCATACATGTATTTGTCAAGACTGTCGAGTCTAGAAAATATTGGTTACGTAGAATGAATTGATGAATCGACAGGAGTTAACAGTTGCTGAACATGCACTGGTGATATGATGACAGCAAGGGACAATTCTTTCTGCAATTCATATATAAACGAATGTATAATTAACTTTAATGAACTGTCTTATGAATATTATAATGTACATGATACAAAGAATCAAACAATGAAACAGAAAATTTAAATATGTTAGTAAAAAAGGACAAGATTTTTTCTTTGTATAGTTTTTAATCAATTTAATGGATCAGCTGTTTATATAATTCCCACGATGTTAATCATATAGGACACTTAAGTCTCAATGTCTAAGGTAAATGTCCTTTAACAATGGAAGCATCTTAATGAAACAATAAGACGGAATCATCAACTTGTTGTACAACCTTGAATTGATTGAAACTTTTTCAACAGACAACTTGTTTTAATTTACAAAGTAGACATGCAATGTGTACATGGTTTGACAGAAACTTCCATAAGACACTTAATAATCAGACATTTGTCATTTGAGTAACAAAAATATACTGGAAAATTTTATCAGTATTCCATTTAGGGATGGAATATGTTTTACAGATGAAATATTGTCCACAGCACAAGAATGGAAAAATTCTGGTGTCATTATAATTGTTATATTTAAGATTTTACTTAATTCCTGGAGTATTTTGGTTCATGTAAAATTGTAAATGAGAGAATCCTTGCATGTTTTAAAATGCCTGCTGTCATTCCATGTTTTTACAGACATTTCCTTCAATGGAGATTGTGACAAAACTGAGTGCTCTGGTACAACATAGATAACTGCTATGGAGAGGTATGAAATAATTCACAGACTCGGGGCAGGAGGTTGTGGCGCTGTGTACCTGGCCCGCAGCAATGAAACCAAAAAGTGAGTAATCTAATTTTTGTATCATGGGTAGTTGGGTACTTTATATTTTAGATTTTATTAAACTTTTGTTTTCAAAGGTTTTTGCAAAAGTCTGTCAATTCCATAATGACTTATTGATCATATAAAAAGAGTTTTTAGGAACTTAGATATTAATCAATTAAATGTATTTGAATAAAAAAGGGAAGAGTAAAACCTGAATGCTTGAAATTTTGATGTTATTTATTACCGAATTATATTTAGGTACTGTGCATTAAAGAAAATTGAGTTGGATGAAAAAAGGAAGAACAGAACAAAAGAGGCAGTACAAAAAGAAGCCAGGTAAACTGATCTATCACAATATAAAGTAATTAACTATCTATACTTCACAAATGACTAGTCAAGGTCATACTCTACGTACAGTTAAATTTTGGTGTGTCCAACACTGAAATCTGGGAAACCATGGATATGTCAAAATAATTTAGAAGTATCAACCACTTTTGCTTTATGTATTTTAAGCTTGATATGTCAAATTTTCGAATGTTTTTCCTTGGTCATTTCAAGTTAAAGAGAACAGGGTTTCACTCTATTTGTACCTGGTTCTGTAAAGTATTGATAATTTTTTCCAAGATATATTCTTAAATTAAAATAATAGTACTAGCAGATGTTAATAAACTCAATATCAACATAATGGTCAGCTTGATTGCTTTGTATGTTTGTAGCAGGTAATATTATTCATCTTTCTTTTTTTCAGAATTCTAGAAAAATTGAAGCATCCCCATATTGTATCTTACCATGAATCATTCTTCGATGAACATGAACATTTTTTATACATAGTACAAGTAAGTGAACGTATTATTTATATGGACATACTGTAAATCACTTTTTATTTGCGAGAACTTTATTTTCGCGTAATTACGGGAGACAGAATGATCGCGAAAATTTCATTCTCGTGTATTATAGAATTCCTTAAGATTATATAGAGCAATGACCACAATTCGTGAAAATTTTGTCTCGCTAATCAAGAGCCAATGACTATCTCGCGAAAATAAGGTGTCTTGAAAATTAAGTGATCTACAGTATATGAATGTATAGCAATGTAAATAATGGTCAGTTTTATTAATCATTTGGAGGAGACTTAAATGGAAATCAGGAACCCAAATCCTTAGTGACACGTGGACAAGCCATCAGAAATCACAAACAAAAAAATATCGATTCCGTTGATAATGTAGAAATTTTATCTAAGCCTCAGAAGGATAATTAACATTTGTAAAACACACTGTTGATATTGTATACATTTATTGTAGGACTATTGTGATGGAGGTAACCTTGACGACAAGATCAAAGAGGCAGCTAATGTAAGGATTATCTCCCTAAGACTCAATGATAATATTGTTCTAAAGAAATGTGCTGATCTTTAATGAGTCTGATGTGTGTTTTATGATTTTCATGTTTCAGAAAAAGAAGCATTTTGAGGAAAAACAGATTATGAATGTAAGTTATTTTACACTCTTTGGTGCAGTTTATAATGTACTTCTATGACATCTATGTGTATCAGTCACAATTTGCTGCTTTAGAAGTTGTATACTGGCTTTGAGGTTGTTTTTTGCTATGAAGGTTGTTTTATATTTGTTCTGTCAATTGCTCTAACTTTATGACTGATTTCTTATTTACAGTGGTTTGTACAAACTCTGATGGCCGTCCAGTACATACATTCCAATAAGATTCTTCATAGGTAAATCAAAAGTCTTAAAAAAGTATAATTTGATTGTTAAAATAATTTCAATTTTAGCACAGTATTTGTCATGTTTATACAAAGTTCAAAGTTTGCCACTTTTATGTATTCCAGGGATCTGAAGACAGAAAATGTGTTCCTGACAAAGAAAAATGTTGTTAAACTCGGTAAGTGTGAACCTGATCTGAGTAGAGAGAAAAAACAGAATTTCAATCTACACATACATGTATTATTTCTACTGAATTCTTTGTATGCTACAAATGATATGGGTATATAGGTAAATACCTGTAAATAAGTAATTAAACTTTGTTTAAGTTGGAATTGTGTTTATAAATAACAAATAACACTTAAAAAATAAAAGAATAAGTTCAATTAAAACATGCATTAACTTAAAGGTGATTTTGGTATATATAAGGTCCTTTTTTGGTATATCTAAGCTTCTTCTTTTACAGGTGATTTCGGTATATCTAAGGTCCTAGACAGTACCATTGATGTGGCAAAAACTGTGGTTGGGACACCATCCTACCTTAGCCCAGAGCTCTGTCAGGATATTCCATACAGCTCCAAGTCTGATATCTGGGTAGGTGATCTGTAGGTCTGATATCTGTTATGTGATCTTCAAGTCTGATATCTGGGTAGTTTATCTTCTAGTCTGATATCTGGGTAAGTGATCTGTAAGTCTGGTTTCTGGGTAGGTAAAGTTTGATATCTGGGTAGGTTATCTTCAAGTTTTGATATCTGTTAAGAGATCTTCAACACAGATATTTGGGTAATATCCAATCCTTATATCTTGGTTTTTGATTTTATAGCTACATACTGATCTTTAAGTCTGACTAGGTATGTGATCTTTTAGTCAGATATCTAGATATCAGTTATCTCAAAGTCTGATATCTGGGTGAGGATTTATGATATTTTGATCATTGATCTTTTAGCCAAGTATCTAGATCAGCCATCTTCAAGTCTTCTATCTGGTAATTATGTGTTCTTTCAGTTTGATATCTGACACCAAGTGATTAAAAAAAATTCTTGCAGTAGTATTTAGGTAGATGATTTCAAAGCTTCATATCTGGGTGATTTTTGAATAATAAATATGGATTAGAGATATCCAAGTTAAACCAGATATCAGTCCTGAGCTAGTGATATCTAAATCTTAGTTAGAAAACTTCAAAACTTCCTATCGAAGCTTAATGCTTCCATATCCTTGCAGATATCTGTGTATTAGTTATTGATTTTTCAGGCATTAGGTTGCGTCCTCTATGAGTTCCCTGTTTTACTTTTTAGGCATTAGGTTGTGTCCTCTATGAGTTCCCTGTTTTACTTTTTAGGCATTAGGTTGTGTCCTCTATGAGTTCCCTGTTTTACTTTTTAGGCATTAGGTTGTGTCCTCTATGAGTTCCCTGTTTTATTTTTTAGGCATTAGGTTGTGTCCTCTATGAGATCCCTGTTTTATTTTTGCAGGCATTAGGTTGTGTCCTCTATGAGATGAGTTCCCTGTGTCCCCCTTTTGATGCCCAGAATCTCGTCAGCCTGTTGTTTAAAATAATCAAAGCCGAGTATCAGGTCAGTGGGAGACAACTCATATTGATAGGGCTTATACTGTTAATGAAAAATGAGTTTCAAATTTCATTTTATCTGTTAATATTTATTCTAAAGTCAACTGTTACATGTACATATTTATAAAAAATGAAATACTTGTATGTTAAATGTTTATTTTTCAGTCCATTCCATCCCAGTATTCCAAGTCTTTACATGACCTTGTGACCTCCATCTTACAAAAAACTCCGGAGGACAGGCCAAGGTCAGTTCTGTTACAGTCTGTATTTCAAAAAATACAGTCTATACTCAGTATGAATAGGTTCACTTTATATAAGAGATATTCTTTATATTGATAAATTACATTAAAGCATACTTTTATTATTGTATTTTACTGAGAAGGGTTTCTTAGCAGTCTTTAAAAAAATAGAAGTAGTTGACTAGGAACTTTTTGATTTTTTTATTCTGCAGTGCCAGTGCCCTCCTAAACATGTCCTACGTAAAACAGCATCTGGCAGAATTCATACAGGAGAAGGAAAGCTTACTCCAGTTAAAGACCAACAAAGAAAACTCTAGATCCTCCCCACATCTCAATGTAACAGACCAGTCAGGAAGTAAGGCAAATAGGTTAGTGAATGATAGATCCTCCCCACATCTCATTTCTACTTACAGAAAATGAAATAAGCTTTCCTCCTCTTTCTTAACTACAAATCAGTCACTTTTGCAAAGGACACTAAGCATTGAAAAAATTAAGAAAAGTGAAATTGTGTACCTTATTTTAGTTCATTGATAATTTAAAAATTTTTTGTGAGAAAAAAATGAAAGTTGTAAAATTTACTTAAATCAAAATGTAGTTATATTTAATGCATTTGAAATATTGACATTTCTTTGTAATACTGGATATTGTCACATTTATATAGTGCAAACAATTCAGTGTCGGCCAGTCCAGCTATAAATAGACGACGGGAATCTCCAGAGAAAGCCCCAAAATCAGCACAGCAGAAAGACAGTGGCCTAGGTAATGTGTCACTCTCTAGTTGTGTAAGGTAGATTTGTTAAAGTGAACTTTGACCTCACTTTCTCACATTTAATTGTGTATTTCTCTAGTGATGAATGACATGAATGGTGATGGGAAGGCGGACTATTCCGATGATTTTGACTCTTCTGATGAGGAAGGTAGGTTTCTGTGACATTTAGTTATCCTGGAATCACAATTTCTGGAACATTTAGTGTCATGTTTGCTGTTTATTCCCCCAGATATCGCTGATAACTGTGAGATGGCAGCAGACAGCTCTGATGCTGAGTACGATGACGATTTTGAGGAGTATGACTCTAGTGAGGTCAGTTCATATATAATATGTCAACCCCACAATTTAAAACCAATTTGAAAAGAATATTACTGAATTTCTATAAATAATGGGAAAAAGACAGGAATTTACATAAAGATGGCAAATTGTCTACCTTTACCAGCATAAAGACTAAATTTTGTTTTGAACCTTATCTAGATATTCTTACAAACAATCAACATAGATCAGTTTTAACAAAGTTAAGAATATCGGCTCACAGGCTTAAAATTGAAATTGGACGTTACCAAAAAATACCAAGAGAGGAACGAATTTGTTCACTTTGTCATCACAACGAGATTCAGGATGAAATTCATTTTCTCCTTGTATGTCCTCATCTTAATGTACAAAGACTTGAACTCATAAATATTTGTAAAATTAAATGTAAAAATTTTCAATCTCTATCTTATGATAATCAATTTTATTGGCTCATGACTAATGAAGACCCAGACATCCTTAGATCACTTGCTGCATTCCTTAGAATTTACCTTAATTGAAGATATTGTGATAAGCATAAAAAATTATATACCTCTTTCCCAGTTTCTTGCCCTTAACTATATATATATATATATATGTATAAATTATATATATTTGTATGTAACTTACAATACAATACATGTATGTATATTCAGTATATCTCTTATATACTTTTTTTGTTTTGTTTTTTAACAATTGCTCTTTATTTGTAATATCATCATCATGTTTGTTCTATCATTTGGATCCTCCTCCTTCTTTTGTATGTAAATCTTTTTGCTCATGCGGGGGCCAAAATTGGATTAATAAAATCTTGTATCTTGTATCTATATATAAACTCATAATTTACTAATTTAAAAAAAACGTATATCAAGACCTGTATGATTTAAATGAGATTGTCACTCAGGCCTGTCAGGATCACATGATATTAATTGATGTATATAAAATTCATTTACATGTATACATATATTACAGGATTTAGACGAGATTGTAACTCAGGCCCGCGAGGCTCAGGAACTCGAACCAGTAGATGTTTATTTCGCTGATGACAAGATTTTACAACAACAGTTCAGACAGACAGCCGTCTTTAAAAGGTAGATAACTCAGAAATGTTCATACACAAGAAGCTTCTGATACTGGAGCATTAAATATATATAGATTTGGTTGTTAGGCAAGATTATGCTGTTTGTCTTCTGAAACAAAATATGCTAAAAATTGATGAAATTTTGAATAAAAACAAGCATTCTGAGAGTATTGCATTAGCAATACTAGTCCTTTACAGCAAGTGTAATATGGTTCCTATTAAAAATTGTGAATGCCATAATTCTGTCTAAAATCATTTATGTGAAACAAAATGCAAACTTGATCTATAACTCATCATGGTAAAGTCACATACAAAAAATCAGCTCAATATCTGAAAGCATTTAGGAAAAAAGTACAGAAGACTGAGATAGGGACAGACAGATGGTCAGGCAGAGGAAGCCTGTAGTCCCCTCTGAATTCAAGGGAAGGGGACCAATAAGAAAATTTTGTAATTGACATAATTTGTTGCCTTCCTTGACCTTTATGTTATTCTATCACTTTAAGTCAATATTTGTTTGTAAAAGGTATGACATCAGGATTTCGATGATGAACTCTTAGAGACACCCAAAATCATGGACCACACTCACCAGAAAGAGGTCTTAAATTTGTCATTTGTTGTGCAGAATGATATTCAATAGGTCATGGAGGAATACAATAGCTGTTTGATTTTTAACAACAAAAGTTTATTGTACACTCCACAGGCAATGTATAGAGAACCTTGGTGCTAAGAATTTGAAGGAGGTGGACAAATTGATACAGAATGGGACCATTACAGAGGAGGATCTCAAGTTAGTGGGGGTGTTTTATTTTGCCTTTTTTTAACATAATAGATTATGCTTCACTCAGTTTCAGATTGAGTGATTTATTTTTCAGACTCAGTGTTAGTGATGTTCTATTTTGTCTAATTTAAACATAACAAATTGAGCTCTGTGACGAGTTTCAGATTGACTGATTTATTTTTCAGACTCAGTGTTTGTCACTCCATAGGAGAGGATGCGGTGGAGATCTGCCATTTTAACATTGACGATCTTCCTAACGGCTGATGCCACACTGGTCCATACAACATTAACATGTCTACCGCAACCTGTGATATAACAAGTCCCTCGCTAACATAAATGTCTACTGAGTTAACACTTACATCCAATTAATCTGTGTTAATACATATATATATTCATTTTGAAGAGTACATTAATGACTGCATTCATGAAAATCAACACATTTTTATGTGTTTAACTATAGCTGTTTCTCATTAGCTTTGTATAAATTAATTTTAAAAAAGAGCTTTCTCTATGTATATTTAGAGATATTCAATATATTTTTTGTTGTTGTAGTTGCATTAGGTGTAAAAATTTTATTTTTCTTTATTTTTTTATGTTTATTTTGTATATTGTTTATGTTTTTGAAATTGTGCTTATATTACAAATAAAACCTGTAATATATAATATTTTATATCCACATTTATTTGTTTTTAAAATACAATTTAAATTTATAAAATCAGTCGTTTAATGTTTTATTCCTCAAATGTAGTCTAATTCAGAAAATTCGTTAATATTCTCAATCAGAAAATATTAAGATATTCAATGTCTAAATGTTTTATTTTTTTTTCATTATTCCCGTTCTTTGCTTTTCTGGGTTTTTGAGTGGTAAGGAGGGGAGTGATGCTGTACTGGGAGTGACTTTCTCTGAAGATGGCTTCAGAATGTCTAATGATATACCCAAGGCGGCCTGTTCAACAGATGGAACGTTCGCGAGCGCTCGTCGAAATTCCTTATACCTTCAACAAGAATGTTTGCAAGCGCTCTCTCATTGAACAGACCTCCGGTGTTCAACTTTTTTGGAAAGATAGAAACTTTGATGGTTGCCTCATTGATGAGCTTTATAAAAGTTTGAAGCTAGACTAAAATCTGTCTACATTTGGTCATTGTTTATTGCACTGAACATACAGACAATACAGCTTATTGAGTGTTGAAGTGGAATTCCAGACCATGATTACGGTCAAACAATGTGACAGTTTTGTTACAAGATGATGTTAAACAAAACTAGACGAAAAAATTCCCCCCAGAGACTGACAGACGAAGAATAAAGTTTAGTAAGAAGTTAGGTTTTTCATTGTCTTTAGAGTGCAAACAACACGGTATTCAATACACGAATTGGTCCACTTGATTTAAATGTCTCCATTTTAAATAACAACAGGTGCCCGTTCAGGACGGGAGGAGTCGGCCTTACTTATTAAGACTATTCAGGCGCGCAGGATATATCATATTTATCTTTGTTCCGCAGGGGTAAATAGATCAGCACGTTATAATTATTTAAAATTGTGTATTTATTTTTAAGGTTTGTCAGACGGTCATTTGAATATTTCATGGAATGCCCCGCTACGACCAGTGCATAAACATATTTTATGGACATCGTGTATGTTATCATACGCAATTGGAAAATGGATGTAAAACATCTCCGTATTATGTGGTTTTTTGGATTTGTATATTGAAACTTCAGTTTGTAGGTGGGCTCTAGAACTATAATGTAATCTAAACAAATTACTTTGGAAACAATTTAATTACTTTCCTCCATCTTATCAGTTGTCACCGTGTGTGAATTAAGTGTGTAACATCAGAAAGCCCAGGATTGGCTACCATTCCTTTTTGTAATTTTTTCTCCGGAGGACTAACATCTAGTAAGAGATTTTTTCAAAATACTCGTAAACATAAAATGTATGAGCTGCAATCATTGTAATGGAAATTTTTGGCAGAGAAAGAATGATCTATAAACTTCAGAACTCATGTATTTGCATTGGTAAAAGCCCTTAGTGAGGCAAAATTAAATTTAATATTGTCATCCTCTACAAAAAGTCTTATAACATCTTACATTCCATTATGTACACATTGTAAGTCTTGATAAAATGTATTGCCTATAGAACTTGGTCTTGTTGTTATAAACAATGTCAGAGTACCTGTACAATTTTCCTAAGCGAATATATTATAAGAAGAAATAAATCTCACTAAAATGCAGCTGATTTTGTAAAGTTTAAATCAGAAAGACCTTGTCAATCAACCCTGTCAAAATTGACGATAATAATCCAAGCTTAGAAAGTTAAACAAACTGGGGAAAAATGTCACGTGTTTTGACGGAAACAATACTCCAATGGTCAGATACTGGGTAAATCCTCCAGTCACTGGCCTTCGTGGTGTGAGGGACAGGGCCGTATAATGAGACCCTCACTGGGAGGAATAATAGACCCCCGTCCAGTTAGGGAACGTGTTACAGACACAGAGAGGGCGATCAGAGCCGATAGTAGCCAGACACAATGGCTTTATTACATGTATACATCGTAGTTATCATGCCAGGTTACATGTGTTTTTTGTAGATAAAAAGATTTATGTTGTTTTAAAGAGCATCACAATAATGCTTAACCGATAATACAAGTTTAAGTATACACGTTTAAATCAGTCCTATTATTCAAGTAAAAGTCTAAAAGTGATCTTTTAAATTTTCGTGTTTGATATATGCGCTACCAGAAAAGGTATCATTTCGTACAAATATCTATTGAAGGAAATGAAAAAAAAAACTTAAAAAACGTGATTAGGCATTCGCATAGGTAAATTTTTTGATAAAAAGTGCATAACTGAAATCCATCAGAGATGATTTTACATGCTGTCATGAACTAGTTTGTTGTGGTAATAATAGGTGTACAATTATAACCGGTTCCCAAATACCCAACATATCATTAGCAAATCTCTAATGTAACATTTAAGGCACTAGGTGTCGTATCACGCAGGTGAAAGGCAGGTAATTAGATCTCAGAATGTCATGGAATGCCGTTGGATTTTGTAGATGTCTAGATGGAGAGCCCGCGAAAGAACGTGACGTCTTTTAATTTTCCTGTCAAACGGCACCAGGAACTTCCCGGATACAGGAATGACGTCACAACATTGGAACCGAGCAGTCCCAGACGTTTACACAACATCTCTATCGTGTCCTCTATACACAGCGACAAAAATAAGGAAACACCGACGTTTGAGAGGATTCAGGAAAGTTGTCTTCAATCGTGAGTTACCTTGCTGTGCACTCATAATATTTAGATCATGGTTTATTGATCTAGTCAGAATGTAACGATCATGATTTGTTGACCTAGTCAGAATGTATCGATCATGATTCGTTGACCTAGTCAGAATATATCGATCATGATTTAGTGACTTGGCCAGAATATTAAGATCATAATTTGTTGATCTAGTCGGAGTGTTTTGGATCATAAAATGTTGAGAATATTCTGATGATCATGGTTTGTAGATTTAGTCAATCTGTGTAGATCATGATCTGTTGACCTAGTCAGAATGTTTAGATCATGAATTTGTCACATAGTCAGAATGTTTTAGATCAAGATTTAGTGACTTGGTCAGCTCCTTCATGATTTGTTGACCTTGCCGGAGTGCTTAATCATGATTTGTTGAAATATTTCGCTTCTTCTACAAATACTGCCTATTCAGATTAAATTGTTCCGATCATGATGTTTAATTTGTTGTTGATGTTCATTAAGGAATGAACTACTTTATTTCGCGATTTACCGAAAATAAACTAATTTGCGAATTTATTTTCGCGATCAATCCTTTTTAAAACTGTTTTAGTAGAAAAAGAGACTATAAAATATTCATAACTTAAAAGTTGGTTTACAGCAGTTTACGCTTTATAAACCGCGAAGAGGTTTATAAAAAAAGCGTAAACTGCCCCAAGTTTTGTTATATCGTATAACATAAGTTAAAATTAGCTTTATTCTTTATAATTTAATTTCAATGTAGACAATGAGACAATTTTTCCTCCAGAATAAGGCTTCAAATTTAGCATTATTTTAAAAGTAACGTCAAGCGGAGTAATACGTTTTTTACGTAACTCATTGTGACGTAGGCAAGTTATGTTATACAAAATATTATATGTTCCTCTGAATGATTCAGCCAATGAAATTGCTTGATACAAGTGAAATTAAATTATATATAAATGATTTGTTGACCATGTCGGGTTACTATATGATTTGTTGACCTAGTCAGATTGTTTCTTACATGATTTGTTGACGTCTCTCGTTGGAACAGACGGACCTTGTACGAAGACCCTGATTTCCCGGCAAGTGACAGATCACTCTTCTATAGTTACAGACCAAACATAAGACCCATCTTCTGGAAAAGACCGCATGTGAGTACCATTGGAAGGTCAAACAATTTTATATTTCAATCTGTTTTGTGTTGAAATTATGTTTAAGGATTCGCTCATTCTTTAGGAAATCGTATCATTCCCTAAATTCACTGCCAATGGATTCAGTCGATTTGACCTGCTACAAGGAAAGTTGGGTAAGGGTCTTATGTATTTTGGTTGTCTTTAATATATACACTGTTAACTCGGTATATGGTTTTGCCACTATGAAGTTGTGTTCGATTCTAGGTAACTGTTGGTTGGTTGCTGCCTTTTCTTGTCTTACATTGGCTCCAAACTTAGTTAAAAGGTGCATTCCAGAAAACCAAGGATTCACCAAAAAGTATGCAGGAGTCTTCCACTTCCGGTTTTGGAGATACGGAGAATGGATTGACGTTGTCATTGACGACCGTCTGCCGACCATCAATGGTAGATCATGATTATAGCTACTGAAAGTTTTAAGAATTCTGTACTGACCATACACTAAAAAGTTTTTTTTGGTAATAAAGTACGTTAATTAACATTCATTTCTTTACTTAGGAGAGTTGATCTATCTCAGAAGTTCTGATAAACAAGAATTTTGGCCTGCTCTGTTTGAAAAGGCTTATGCAAAGTAAGTAAGAGGGTAACTTGATGTGTTATTGCATTCTACAAAGTACAAAATGAGCCTCTATTACATACATCTATATTGCATTTTGCAAGATTTACTAAAATCCATTCTTATACAAATATTGAAACACAGATAGACAGATAGACAGGCTGATACTCTGACACGGAGTATTTATGTTCCTTTATCAATGTTTCGGCGTTAATTTACCAAACATTTTCAAGGACTAGCTAATGGTTGAAAAAGCTTTGTTAGCAAACTTAAATTTTTTCTATTTTAACTTTCAAGCATTTTTTTCTCCATAACATTTTAATGAAGCAATACACAGTTGTATGCACCTCTTGTAGATGTTACGGATCCTATGAGAACATCAGTGGGGGTCTGACGAACTGGGCCCTCCAGGATCTGACGGGAGGGATCACAGAGACCCACCAGGTGTATGAAAACCCCCGACTGATACAGAGGATACTGGACGTATCCATGACTAACGCGTCTCTTATTGGAACCTTCATATCTGTACGTACAAATTACTCCTTCTCTTCTTGGTACCTACATATCTGTATGTACAAATCACTGCTTCTCTTATTGGTATCTATATATCTGTATGTACAAATCACTGCTTCTCTTATTGGTATCTACATATCTGTATGTACAAATTACTGCCTCTCTTATTGGTATCTATATATATATCTGTACGTACAAATCACTGCTTCTCTTATTGGTACCTACATATCTGTATGTACAAATCACTGCTTCTCTTATTGGTACCTATATATCTGTACGTACAAATCACTGCTTCTCTTATTGGTACCTACATATCTGTACGTACAAATCACCACTTCTCTTATTGGTACCTACATATCTGTACGTACAAATCACCACTTCTCTTATTGGTATCTACATATCTGTATGTACAAATCACTGCTTCTCTTATTGGTATCTATATATATATATCTGTACGTACAAATCACTGCTTCTCTTATTGGTAACTACATATCTGTACGTACAAATCACTGCTTCTCTTATTGGTACCTACATATCTGTACGTACAAATCACCACTTCTCTTATTGGTAACTACATATCTGTACGTACAAATCTCTGCTTCTCTTATTAGTATCTACATATCTGTACGTACAAATCACTGCTTCTCTTATTGGTAACTACATATCTGTACGTACAAAACTCTGCTTCTCTTATTGGTCTACATATCTGTACGTACAAATCACCACTTCTCTTATTGGTACCTACATATGTATTGGATATATGCCGAATACAGTTCTTTGTATGAAAACCCCCGACTAATACAGAGGATACTGGACGTATCCATGACTAACGCGTCTCTTATTGGTATCTACATACAGTCAAACTTGTTTTAAGAGGCCACCTTTGGGAAGTCTGGAAACTGGCCACTTAAGACAGGTGGCCTCTTATCCCAGTTTGCCCTCAAAAAGACATCCGTGAATAACCAACATTAAGCATATAGTTAAATTAATCAAATAATAAAACAGGTCAATTTAACAAAGGCTTTTTTGTGTATATATAATAATTCAAGCTCAATAAAAAAAAATATTAAAGAATTAGAATTTTTTAAAAAAGTTTTTGTGCATGTTTCTGTTCCTAAATATTAGTTAGATAAGAAATACATACAGTGCCTGGTTATTATCCTTTTTTATAAAGAAAAAAAAATACACAAAATACATTTTAGTGGTAAATAAAATAAATCATAGAAATTTGAATAAGAATATGTCAATAAAAATTCCACTTGCATATGTTCAAAAATGGTCAGCAGTGTAACCCCCCCCCCCCCCCAAATAATTCATCGGCAATTAACTTACTTGCTGAATTCATTCATTCATGGTAAATTTTATTGTTTATAAAGCTGTCAGAATTTCTATGTAATATACACAAACACACAAATAAAATTAACCACTTGACCAGAGAGATGTATTGACGCAGTTGAAAATCATTCCATAACACAGGTGTCATATGCAGTGGAGCGTGACTAATCCCTATCGATTGTCTGTTGATTGAGAAATTCACGAGATAATCATGCCACATGAAGCACTTTGTTTTCACAAGAGTAGCAATTAGGGTTTCTACATGGAATCAAAATCTAAAAGGTGTGAATTTCTTTAGGTAGAGGAAAGTATCAATTGTATTTAAATTCTGTTCATTTTTTAATCGGCGATCTTGAAAAATAATTACAAATTCATCTAACAGGTTTTTTTTTCTCATAAACACAGAGTTCAGTGTATCCAATACTAATTTGTTTAATTGCATTAATAGCTGGGTTAAATTGGCAATCGGGATATAATTACCCGAGCGAATGAGTTTAAAAGACGTAATAGAATCGCAGCAAGTGACGAAATGGCCGCCTATTACAGTATCAATAAGGCTGTTGGGGGAGGATTTGAGTGGCCGCTGGCCGCGTTACACAGGTGGCCGTTTATTCCAGTTAAAATATATAGGAAAAATCGTCGGGGGGAACTGCTTCCGCAAGTGGCCGTTGATTTCGGGTGGCCGCTAAGACAAGTTTGACTGTATCTGTACGTACAAATCTCTACTTCTCTTATTGGTACCTACATATCTATACGTAAAAATCATTGCTTCTGTTATTGGTACCTATATCTATCTGTAAGTACAAATCACTGCTTCTCTTATTGGTATCTACATAGCTGTATGTACACAACACTGCTTCTGTTATTGGTATCTATATATCTGTATGTACAAATCACTGCTTCTCTTCTTGGTACCTATATATTTATACGTACAAATCACTGCTTCTCTTATTGGTTTCTACATATCTGTATGTACAAATACTGCCTCTCTTATTGGTATCTACATATCTGTACGTACAAATCACTGCTTCTCTTATTGGTACCTACATATCTGTACATGCAAATCTCTGCTTCTCTTATTGGTATCTACATATCTGTATGTACAAATCACTGCTTCTCTTATTGGTTTCTACATATCTGTATGTACAAATCATAGCTTCTCTTATTGGTAACTACATATCTGTATGTACAAATTACTGCCTCTCTTATTTGTATCTACATATCTGTATGTACAAATCACTGCTTCTCTTATTGGTACCTACATATCTGTACGTACAAATCACCACTTCTCTTCTTGGTACCTACATATCTGTATGTACAAATCTCTGCTTCTCTTATTGGTATCTACATATCTGTACGTACAAATCACTGCTTCTCTTATTGGTATCTACATATCTGTACGTACAAATCTCTGCTTCTCTTATTGGTATCTACATAAATATCTGTATGTACAAATCACTGCCTCTCTTATTGGTATCTACATATCTGTAAGTACAAATCACTGCTTCTCTTATTGGTAACTACATATCTGTACATGCAAATCTCTGCTTCTCTTATTGGTACCTACATATCTGTATGTACAAATCACTGATTCTCTTATTGGTTTCCACATATCTGTATGTACAAATCACTGCTTCTCTTATTGGTATCTATATATATATCTGTATGTACAAATCACAGCTTCTCTTATTGGTAACTACATATTTGTATGTACAAATCACTGCTTCTCTTATTGGTATCTATATATATATCTGTATGTACAAATCACTGCTTCTGTAATGGATATAAGCCGAAACCGGTTCGAGAGTGATGTCGAGATTTTTAGAACCCCCAGCGATAAGTCCGATAATGACACTGATACCATTTTGAATGACATTCTTGATCTGGAGAACTCCCATTTAAATTTTGAATTACGCGCTTCTCCGTTATTCGTAAAAATTTTCTGACATATCGGACTTTGAAGGTGATGACTTGTCATTAATAAAGGCTTCCCAGGAGATTGAAAACAGGGCGTCGACAAAGGAATGTGTTTCAACTCGTTTTTCAAAACCCCTTCAAGAGGCGGATCTGAAGAGGTTAGTCCAGTCTACGAAATCCAAAAACACCGAAAATAAAGCTAAATGGGCTGTGAATTTATTTGTTGAATGGAAAGAAAAACGAAACAAAAGTGTGCAGATTACGGAAGAACTGAATTCGACTTTTGTAGTGGGAGAACTTATGACCATATGTCGTTAGACAAAGCTATGCAGTTTTTCATCGCTGAAGTTCATAACAAATCCGGCGGAGAATACCACCCAAACACCCTTTATGAAATTGTCATTTCTGTACAACATTTTCTGCGAGCTAGCGGGAGGTTTGTTAGCTTTCTGGATGATACTGACTTTGTTAATATGCGATCAGTATTAGATGCAGAAGTGAAAGAATTATCAAGAAAGGGAATCAGGATCAATCGTAAGCAAGCAGCTATTATTTCAGCGGAACAGGAAAACGAGATGTAGGAGCGTGGGATTCTCGGATCTGACACTGCCAAAAAGTTGGTCGATACTCTGCTATACAGTATCGGATTAAACTTTGCTCTCCGTGCCGGGCAAGAACATCGGAATCTTCGAATTGGTACCAATTCATAGTTATCACTACACATCTCCAAAGATGATTTGAGACGGTACGTCCAATACACAGAGGATGTATCCAAAAGCAACACCGGAGGCTTAAATCATCGCAAAATTGCGCCAAAAGTCACAAGGGCATATGAAAATGTGGATGAGCCTGAACGTTGCCTTGTTAAAATTTTTGAGAAATATATCAGTTTAAGGTGAGAATATAGCTATCTGGATATTATTTCGAACAAGAATGTCTTATGTTATTTAAAAAATCATGTATATTATCTTGATGCATGCAGTTCTGAAAAAATGGTTTGTAAAGTTGCATATTCCTCTTTTTTGCGTACTATTCATATTATTTCCATTTTTTTAGACCACTTAATAGAAAATCGACGGCGTTGTATCTAAGACCCAAACAGAGGGCTACGGAAACAGTATGGTTCGACGACGTGCCGATAGGGGTTCATCAGCTTCAGCAAGTTGTCGGAAAATTGTGTAAAGCAGCTGGATTTCATGGGAATTTTACCAACCATTCTTGAAGGGCTACCGCTGCTACAAGACTGCATCAAGCCGGTGTTGACGAACAACTAATTGTTGAAAAGACGGGGCATCGCTCGAATGCGGTCAGGGCCTACAAACGTACATCAACGGAGCAGATGAAGGAAGTGAGTGACGTTGTGCAATCTAAGGCGAAGAAGAAGGTTTCCGCTGAAAATGATGGAGCTGCTGCTTCTGAAAGGAATAGTGCTTCCAGGGAAATAAATATCACTGCTGGCGATGTGTTTGTGCGTTTGTGATTTGTTGTGATTATTCCCGTTTCTGTATTTCTATTAAAATTATTTCAATGTTCATGTATTTGTTTTCGCTTTTCATTTCAGTTCACTCCACTATTTTCCAATCCAAAATTTTGTTAAATATTGGACTGATCGGACAAAGTATTGGATTGGTTGTATAAAATATTGGACTGATCGGACAAAGTATTGGATTGGTTGTATAAAATATTGGACTGGTAGGATAAAATAATGGACTGCCATACTTTTAAGGGGACATTCTTAAATATACTGGATAGAAACAAAC